TTCTGACTCTTAGAAATTCCTTCCTTGTGGGGCGCCTGGGTGGCGCAGTCAGTCAGGCGTCCAACTTCGGCTCAGGTCATGATCTCACGGTCCGTGAGTTCGAGCCCCGCGTCGGGCTCTGTGCTGACAGCTCGGAGCCTGGAGCCTGCTTCGGATTCTGGGTCTCCCTCTCTCTCTGCCCCTCCCCCACCCACGCTCTGTCTCTCTCTCTCTATCAGACAATGAATAAATGTTAAAAAAAAAATTAAAAAAAAAAGAAAAGAAATTCCTTCCTTGTGCTAAGTCTACATCTGTCTGGAAGTAGCTTCTCCCCTCGATCGTAAATGAAATCCCTGTACCCACGGATGAATCCAGACCCTCACCTGCAGAATGACCATACATAGCCCTCAGGACCAGGCCACATTTCCCCCGGCCTGCTTTCCTCTCTCCCTTCCAGGGATGTTTTCAGAGCTCCTGCCCCCTAGTCACCATCCACGCACAGGCCAACCTGCTCACGCTGGAATCCCTGCCCACCCTGACCATTCTGATTCCAGTCAGACAGGCCTGGGTTCTGGTTCTCCTCTAAACAGCTGTGTGTAACCCTAGGGAGGCCCCACCGTCTCTCAGAGGACCTCAGGGTCCTCACCTTAGGAGAGTAAGAACAGCTCCGACCACACAAGGGCTAGTGGCTGTCCAAGACTGTCAAGCCACAGCACTGACCGAGTGCTTACTAGGTGGGCATCTAAGCCCCTCCTTGCATTTAATCCTTTGTGATGCCGAAAATGATATGGGAGGCAGCCTGATGTCAGGCGGTAAATGAGGGCTGGGACTTGAACCCAGGTCCTTGTGATTTCTGGGCCCGGGCCATTCTGCCAGAGAGAACACAGGCCAACTGCGTTCCTGCCTTTATGTTTGGGAAAACAGGCCTAGAGAAGCCGACAGTCACACAGACAGTAATTGGGGCAGCTGGAGGTCAGCCCCAGGCTAAGAAGATGCCAAAGCCTGGTTCTTCGGCTCTGGGGACACTGGCACCTCTCAGTCTCTCAGGATGAGGATGACGAGGATGGTGACGATGACACCAGGGCAAATGGACGGGGCACTGACCACGGATGAGCATGGCTCATCTGTATTAACCCGTTAAGTTCTTACAGCAACGCGGAGTAGATAGTTCTTATTTTATCCCCATTTCGTAGATGAGAACATTGAGACACGAGACAGCAACTTGACCACGGGCACAGAGCTCGTAAGGGAGTATCAGAATTTAAACAAGGAATCTGGCCCCAGAGCCCATCCTCTTCATAACCCAAAGCAGACATCAAGTGTGGGTGTGGCTTTTCCTAAAACGTTTGTTTTCCCTCAAGTGCTGTTCTCACAGGGCTCAGCCTTTCTTCAGAGACCCTGCGCCCCTCCGTGAACCCGGCCCCATCTGCCCACACGTGCTGTGCTCCCATATCCGCCCTCTTGCCTCCCCGCCAAGCCCACCACAGCGCCCGCCAACGCACCCTTGAAGTCATTGGGCTGGTCAAAGCGGAGCCGGATCTGGTCTCGGAAGCGGCGGCTGCTCTGGCAAATGCTGGTGACCCCAAAGCAGAAGCAGGGCAGGCAGGAGGCGCTGGGCTCCAGGTAGAAGTGCCCGTCGGGGCAGGGTCCTGCCGGGTGGCATGGGAATGGGCTGCGGCTGGTCACCAGCAAGCAGCCCTGGCCTCACCAGCCCCCCCCCAGGGCCCGTGTGCCCGCTGGCCGTACCTCGCTTTGGAATGAGCTCCAGGACCCCGTCGGGAATGCCGAACACCATGCCCCGGGCATTCATGGCCTCACAGGTATAGGCGCCCTGGTCTGCCTCCTTCACATCACGGATGGTCAGTGTGCCACGGCCTCCTTCGCTGGTCACTGTCACCCTGGAGGGCCCCGAGACAGAGGTGGGGTCAGGCCGGAGCCACTGGCCCAGCGCCCCCCACATCTCCAGCGCCTGCCCGGGCTCAGAGCCATACCTGGGATGAGAGGGGATGTGGCCCCAGTTAAGCCTCCAGTTGATGATGGGGGTGGGGACGCCAATGGCCACACAGGTGAAGGTCACTGTCTGGCCCCGGGAAGCCTGGATGGACTCCTGGGGAGGGGTCACCACCTGTGGGGGCACTGGGGCGACCAGAGCAGGAGTGAGGGGTATGAAGGGCACAGGGAGGAGGAGTGGGGGAGGAGAGAAGGGCTGAGACTGTGGACGGCGGGCGCTGGGGCCGGTGGTTCGCCAACACCCCCCCGCCCCCCCACGGCTCCACCCCCCTGCCCCTGCTCACTGCAGCCGAATTCATCACTGCGGTCGGGACAGTCACTCTCCTCGTCACAGTGGAAGCTGGCTGGGATGCACGTGTTTGTGGAGACACAGCGGAACTGAGTGGGCCCGCACACATCCTCGGGACGCTTGGCAGCTAGGGGACAGAGCCAGGGGGTGTGGGCAGCAGGCCCCACCCTCAGGGGGGGACCACTCCCACTCCCTACCTGCCCACCTTCCCTGGTGTCCCCAGGGTCACTCCCTCATCTCATCCTCGTGACACACAGCTGCCCTGACACTGCCCACCGTCACTAGTCAGCCATCAAATGGCTCATCACGGTTCCCTGTCCTCACCACTCACTCCACCTGCGTTCCCCAAAACAGAGACATACCTGGCACGTTAGAGTCATTCAGCAACTCCCACATCCAGCCACCCTCACAAGCACAAGACCTCTGTCAAAGGCACGGGCAAAGTGGCCGGATCCCCAGACACCAGGTGAGACCTGGTGCAGTTCTATCAGAAAGGCCTGGCAAGGGACCCTGCCACAGCCCGAATCTCACTGCTCTGTCCCCTCTGACTGGCCCGGGGTGGCCCCTGACCTGAGGCGGCCACCTGTGGACTGGCCAGAGGCCTGAAGTCGGCCCGGCACCGGGGCTGGGCCCGAGGCATCTGTAGTAGGGGGGGACTGACACTCTTCCTCAGGGAGACTGACCTTAAGATAGACACACGGACGGGGACAGAGAAGGCAGAGTGGCGTAGGAGAGGAGGCCACACATCTGCAGAGAAGGAAGTGAGAGAAGGCCAGGAGGCAGCTATCTACCAACCTGGGGGTTTCTGTCCCAACGCCCTCTGAGCCCCCAAGGCCACTTAGCTTTCACGTTCTCTGTTCGGGGCTCTGACAACCAGGACTTGGTCTCCTGGGACTTTTCCCCAGATGAGAAGTGCTTTTCAACTAAAGCCCTCAATTACTTCTCTTTCCCAAGGGGCTGTCTCGTCAGACAAGCTTCGAGCCACAGGAAGGACATCCTAACAAGTGGCCCGCTGCCGCTTCTTTCCAGCGTGGACCGTGGGGCAGGGAAGGTAGAGAGGAAGGCGAGGAGCTACCAGTGGACAGGACCGTAGGAATGTCAACATGTGATCCGGGATCACAGAGAAATGGTTTGAAGATTATCGTCAGTCTCAGACTAACAATCTCCAGCAGGACAGGACGCTCAGATGCTACCCGATAGGGTGTTTGTCTCTCCAGCCTCACCCATCAGCTGTTATAATGTCCTTAACATTGACTAGGTGGATGGACGTCAGCCGGGTGGATAGTTGGGTGTCCGACAGTTGGTTGGACGGATGGATAAGAGAAAGGAAGGATGTTGGGTCGACGGGCGGACAGGTGGATGAAGAGCTATGAGAACAGACAGCCGAAGGGACAGACAGCTGGGGGAATGGATGGATGGACCAATGAACGATGGATGGATGGCTGAATGGGGAGATGACAGAGAGTTGGGCAGATGGATGTCCAAAAAACTCAGAACTAGCTCTATGTGAAGAACCCCTATACTTGTCCGGGAAAGGCTTTGACTCCCTCACCTGCCAAGAGTCCGATCATCAGGGGACATTGGGGGACATATGAAGCCCTCTCAGCCACTTGTCTGACCTATACTCAAGCACAAATAACCAAGAGAAGATTAATGGTACTGAACTAAAGAAAAGAAACAAGGAGCCATCAGCCACAGGCAGTCTGGCCGCAGTGATTCCCTACCAAGTTCAGCTCAGAGCCGAGACCCCTCACTGCTGGGGTCAGAGAGAGAAAGACCCTCCAGTCTGTCCCCAGGGCCTTCACACTCAGCCAGAGAGAGCAGGGGGAATAGGGCCCGGATGGACCCCAGGACACTCACGGCAGTTGGCCTCATCGGTGCGGTCCTCACAGTCAAAGTCGCCGTCACAGTGCCACAGCTTCAGGGCACAGTGCCCGTTCCCACAGGCGAACTCATTGGGCTCGCATGGCGGGGGGGGACCTGGGGGACCAGGCCGGGTTCAGCCAGCGGCCCTGCCCCCCGCCAGCCCCGCGACTCCCGCACCCTGGGTCCTCACCGCAGTTCAGCTCATCACTGCCGTTCTTGCAGTCCTCCTGCCCGTCGCAGATGTAGTCCTTGGGGATGCACTGCCCGTCGTGGCACATGGCCTCGTGGGGCCCGCAGGGCACAGGCCTGGCTATCCCGGGGAGCAGAGGCTGCGGAGCGGGGGTGCCCGGCAGCTGCTGAATGGTGGTTGCCTCCAGCCAGGGCACCGGCGGTGGGGTCTCCACCAGAGTGGGGGACACGGAGCTGACCGCTGGGACCTCCTCCTCTGTGGACAGAGCCCTCCTGGTGTTGGCACGGTCCGCGGCCCCGGCCCCCACACCGCCCAGGCCCTCCCTGTACCTCCCTGCCACACACGGTGCCCCCACCTGTGTCCTCCTGCCCACCCCCCTCAGAGCCCCCCGCCCGCACCAAACCCTCACGGTTGACACGGAGGCCCAGGGGTACCCCGGCCCTGCCCGGTGTCTCGGGCCACTTGTGGCCCCGGCCGGCCCCTCACCGCAATTGAGCTCGTCAGACATGTCCCTGCAGTCGGGCCTCCGGTCACAGCGATACTCCAGAGCCACACACTCGTTGTGGCTGTGGCAGGCGAACTCGGCCTCGGTGCAGACTCTTGAGAACTGGGGCACTGTGGGGGTTGGAGGGCGTCAGAGGGGCAGGGTGGGAAGGGGGGGCGGGAGGTGTCGTGGGCAGCACAGGCACCGCGTGGCTGGCAGGGGGCTTCAGCGCCCTGCGTCCGGCAGACTCGAGTGAGGCAGAGGGGCACACGGTGGACACATCACGGCACACGTTGGACAGGGGACGGGTGGCGGTGGCCTCAGCCATCCCTTCCATAAACCCCACACACGGTTAGCAAGCCACACGCATGCAACCACCACATCACACGCGTGCAGGCCACAGCCTGGCCCAGTGAGGATGGAGGGGAAGGGGAGAGAGGGCGACTTGTGGGCCACGCCCAGCCATCTCACCCTCATCCTTCCTTTCCCTCCGTCCATGAACTTCTCCAGTACCTGGCCGGGCCTAGGTCTGGCTTACACTCTCACCTGGTGTCACTGCGGCCGCCACGGCGGCCGGAGGGGGCGGGGGTGTCTGTGCTGGAAAGGAAGGTGTGATCAGCACCGTCCCATCTGGGACCTGGGAGCCGTGGGCTGCAGGGCCGAGCCAGGCCCATCCCACCATCCCTAACCAGGAAGGCCCACTGAAAAGTGGGGAGGAGAGGGCTGGGCCCCCAGCCATCTTCCGGTCTGGGCCCGGGGAAGAGCAAACTTGATCTCTGGGTGCGTTCTTTGGGGATTTATGTGCCGAATGACAGAGGCGATGGCTACACTGTCTTCTTCCGATCTGGCTACGCCATGATAGGGAAAGCGCTTGTTCAGCTCTGGGTCTCCTGACTCAGGGATGGTGACGGCTCTGAGAAGCGGAGCCTGTGGGGGAATGAATGGGGCCTGTCTGGCTTGGAGAAGCCAAGACTCAGGGAGTCAAAGTAGGAGCCTGGGGGTGGCGGGTGCCGTGCAAAGAAACCTGAGCTGACCGAGAGCTCAAAGGCCAGGCCTTTGCATCCGATAGCTGTGTGACCGGGGGCCGTTCTCTTGTTCTCGCTGAGCCTCAGGTGCTGTGCTCATCTCATGTCATCATGGGTTCTGGCAAGACTGGCACAGACATGGGGCTTTGTGGAAGTTCTGGCTCTTCCACCAATGCCTATGTGAATTGGGACAAGCCACTTGTCCTTCCTGGGCCTCAGCCCCCTCATGTCTAAAATAAGAGGAATATCTACTTCACAGGAATTATGAAGTCTGGACGGAGGCTGGATACAAGGGCTTTACTGAGCGCCCAGCACATAGTCAGCTCTCGGTAAACATTTGTTGGTTATTATTAAATGCAAACGCGTTTGGATCTGAAAGTTCTATATGCAGAAAGGAATCATTACCTATTGTCGGTGTACAGAGGTCTAGAGACAGAGAGAGCGAGCGGAGATTAAATCTAACCGGGTACATGTTAGGGGCGCCTGGGTGGCGCAGTTGGTTAAGCATCCGACTCTTGATCGCGGCTCAGGTCATGACCTCACGGTTTGTGAGATCGAGCCCTGTGCCATCAGGCTCCGCGCTGACAGCATGGAGCCTGCTTGGGATTCTCTCTCTCTCCCTCTCTCTCTCTGCCCCTCACCTGCCTGTGCTCTCACTCTCTCTCTCAAAATAAATACATAAACTTAAAACATTTTTTTTTAATTAAAAAACATAATTTGGTACATAGTAGAGGAAACAGGTTATACTCAACCCAAGCCAGGACTGCACAGAGACTGATGGGGCGGACTCAGGTAGTGAGCTCCCTGTCCCTAGTGGTGTACAGGCCCCAAGCCAGAAGAGCCCACGGAGGGGACACTGGGAGGAACGAAGAAGTGCTCCAGGTCCCAGGATGGGCTTACCTGTGCCCAGGCGCCGGAACTGGAATCCCTGGGGAGAGGTGACGTAGGAGGCAACAGAGCCGCTGGAAATGACGGTATGAAGCACTTCCTGAATCTGAGCCCCGTCTGCATTCCCTTCGGAGCCCACGTCCAGCTCCACGAAGACCCAGCCGTCCAGCTCCCTAGGGATGGGGATGGGGCAGGGGAGCAGGATGAGAAAGACACCTGCAGCCTCAGCTCCTCCCTCCGCCCCCTGCCTGAGGCTCAGGCCCGATCTCCTGACTCTGTGCCTGTTCCCAGACAGCCTGGAACCCAAGCGGGGCAATTGAAGGTCTCAACTGTCTCCCCAAATTCCTGACCTTCCACCGACCGAGATCCACCTCATTAGGCGTCTCTTACTTCCCCTCCTTGTCACCTCCCTCCAGGTCAGCCCCCCCCTTCCCTGACCGGCCCCCCAGGGGACCCTTCTCACTTGATGAACACCACACTGACAACCTGGTCTCCGGGAATCTTCAAGTACTCCGACTCAAGCTGCAGAGTGACACGGCACCGTCAGCCTCCAGATGCCTTCACCCCATCCTGTCCTGCCCCCCACCCTCGGGGAGCGCCCAAGCCCCTTCACCTCACCGTGTCGACCACAGCCTCGGACACTTCCCGGAACTCCTCGGAGCCCGCATCCTCCAGCTGAGGGCTGTAGTGGATGGAGCGAGTGAAGTTTACCAGGGCCCGGAAATAAACTGCAGAGAGGAGCGGGCTGTCACCAGGAGGTGTCCAGCCTGGCATATGGCGGCCCCGGGCCGCTGGGCCAGGGGGTGGAGATTTGGGGATGGTCTCCAGCGGCCTCTGGCCCAGCCCGCGCCCGTGGGCCCACAGCCATGCCCAGCACTGCCCGTACGAGCACTGGTCACAGTGGCTGTGGCAGGCCTGCCCAGGGTCAAAGCCGAGGCCCCACCCATAAGTGAGGGGCCTCAACCAACGGGAAAGTAGCCTGACGCAGAAACTAAGTGATGGTGCCGAAGAGACCCCCAGCGGCACCGAGGAAGGCTGGACAAGAAGAGCTGGCTTCCAGAGGACGCTGGCCTGGCACAGGGGTCACCCACAAGGGACCGAGACATGCCTCCCACTCCTCTCTGGCTGGTTCTAGTCATCCCTCAGGGCTCTCAGCTCAGCCATCACCTCCTCCAAGAAGAGCGCTTGAACTGGCCTCCACCCTCCAACCCCGGCTGGGTTAGAGACCCCGGCTCAGGACCACCGCCCCCCTCCCCTGTGCTTCCTCCATCAGAACACCTTCCCTCTTGCATCGTGTCGATCCTGCCTGGTCACGCACGGACTGTGGAGTATCATGTGAAAACCAGGGGTTCTGAGGTCAGCCACACCACAGGCACTGACCTCACCTCTCTGAGCTTCTGTTTCCTCCTCAGTCGAATGAGGATGCTAATTACACTTACCACCCCGGGTGGCTGTAGGGAATAAATGACATCGTGCTTACACGCACATCTCCCATGCACAGTGTTGCAACACCTGGCACAGGGCAAGTGCCGGAGAATCAGAAGCTGTGGTCGCTTTCACTACCCCCTAGAATAAACCTGATGAGAGGGCAACCTGCATCTCATTCGCCTCTGTATCCCCAGAGTTAGTGCTTGGCCCACAGTGGGTGCCTAATACACGAGGGATGAATATCAGATTGATGTGAGCATATACACACAACTGTTCTTAAGAACCCACTATATACAAGACATTTTATTCACATTAAATCTCATAATGTTCATGAGTTCATATGAACATGAGTTCAATTCATATCATATGCCTATGGTACACATAGACTAGTGTGCTACACGTACACAAAGAAACTGTTTCTTGAGCACCTATTATGTACAAGATTTAAAAAAATATATTTATTTTGAGAAAGAGAGAGAGAAAGAGTGTGAGCAGGGGAGGGGCAGGGAGAGAGGGAGACAGAGAATCCCAAGCAGGCTCCATGCTCTCAGCGCAGAGCCTGACGCGGGGCTCGATCCTACAAACCACGAGATCATGACCTGAGCCAAAATCAAGAGTCAGATGCTTAAAAAAAAAAAAAAAAAAAGAGTCAGATGCTTAACCGACTGAGCCACCCAGGCACCCTGTACAAGATTTTTAACGTATTAAATTTTAGAACATTCATGAACTTAGGTATTAATTATAAATGCCAAGTTAATGAGTTACAAATAAGTTTAAATATGGGTAAGTGTTTAGAACAGAGTCTGGCACATAGCAGGTGCCTATTAAATGACAGACAATAAACACATATCAGATTGGTGTGAGCATACACATACAACTGTTTCTTAAGCACCTACCGTATAAAGATGTTTTATATGTATTAAATATCACGTTCGTGAGTTCATACGGAAGTTGTACAAGTTAATACAAGCTGCAAATAAGTCACACACACACACGCGCGCGCGCGCGCACACACGTGCACACACAGTTTCCTGAGCATTATATACAAGACTTTTTTTAAAAAATGTTTTCAATGTTTATTATTTTTTTTTTTAATTTTTTTCTTTCAACGTTTATTTATTTTTGGGACAGAGAGAGACAGAGCATGAACGGGGGAGGGGCAGAGAGGGAGGGAGACACAGAATCGGAAACAGTCTCCAGGCTCCGAGCCATCAGCCCAGAGCCTGATGCGGGGCTCGAACTCACAGACCGCGAGATCGTGACCTGGCTGAAGTCGGACGCTTAACCGACTGCGCCACCCAGGCGCCCCTCAATGTTTATTTTTGAGAGAGACAGAGCATGAGCAGGGAAGAGATAGAGCGGGAGACAGAATCTGAAGTTGGGCTCCAGGCTCCGGACTGTCAGCACAGAGCCCGACGCGGGGCTCAAACTCACAAGCCGCGAGATCATGACCTGAGCTGAAGTCAGACACTTAACAGACTGAGCCACCCAGGCGCCCCTGTTATCATTATTTTTTTAGTGTTTAATTTTGAGAGAGAGAGAACCAGAAGTGCACAGGCCAGGAGGGGCAGAGAGGGTCTTAACAAATCCAGGCAGGCCCCTGCGCTCCCTTCTGAGCTGTAGGCACGGCAACATGGAGCTGCCAGACCTCCACCTGAACCGCGTGAGATCATGACCTGAACGGAAGTCGGACGCTTAACCGACTGAGCCAAGATTTGAACCCTGTCCTGAGATTTTAATGCATTAAATCTTAATAACGTTCATGAACTCAGGTATAATACAGTGCCCAAGATAATGAGTTACAACGAGTTAAATACATAAGTGCTTTAGAACAGAGCTTGGCGCATAGTAGGTGTGTAATAAAACATGAGCATAGCATATATATGAGAACAGTGTGGCTTAGTGGTTAAAAGCTTAGCTTCTGGAGTAAATTGCCATTCACAGCCCCATGGACCTCATGCAGTAAGAGCCTACAAGGCCTGTCCTCCTCCCACTACTTCTCTGGGTAGACAAATATGACCACCCCACAACAAGAATGTTCTACCTCTGTGGGCTTGGGCTACAAGCCTCTGAGGGTCGGGTGGGGTGTTAGCAAGGGGCAGGGAGGCTCCCCAGGAGAGAGGTGCTTGAGTGCTAGCACTGCCCCGTGCCTGGGCTGGCCCTCTGGCACTGGGTGGGTGGGGCTCTAGGGGTGCTGAGTGGAGGCGAGGGGAAGCTACAGAGGCCCTCAGAAAGCCTGGCAGCACAGAGGCTCATGAGAGTCCCCAGCTTCCAGCCCCTGGCCTCAGCCCCTGGCCTAGGCAGGCGAGGGAGGCGGGCCTGAGGAATGTGCCTGTCCAGGGGAGGGGGCGGGATCCACAAAGCCCCCTTTCTCTAGGCCCCAAGACTGGCCTCTGCCGGACCCCACCTCAGCGCTCTCCTCAAGACTGCAGGGTGGCAGGCTGAGGCAATCCTCCCTCTTCCACCCTAGACTGCCTCCCGTGTGCCCGAGCCTGAGGGGTTGGGGCAGAAAGTGTAAGCCCCTTCTAAGGAACAGCCCCCAGCAACCAAGGCACCGTAAGTGAGTGAGAGCTGCCGCAGGATGGTGTGCCTCGAGTGCCTAACCCGCCCAGCCTCCTCCCTGGCCTCATTCTGACCTCATCAGACAGCCGCGAGCCACGGCTGGGGGAGGGCAGGGGGCCAGGAAGGCCTACACCCAGGTGGGGTGAGGCAGCACACCTGACCCCAGCCTACCCAGCAGACATCTCACCAACTCCTGCTCCATGACTGATCCATCATGCACCCAGGCCCCTGAACCCCACGCCCGAGGCCCTGGGTCTCCCTGGGTGGGCCGCAGCACAGCCAACGTCTGAGGTAGAAACCCACCTCCAGCCTCAGGGCCTTGCTTAGGGGTTGTGCTAGCCCGTCCCAGCCCAAGCAGTGCCTGGTGGGGCGGGGTAGGAAATGCCAGGCTCATCCCGCCATGGCAATTTAGGCCTGGTGGCAGATAGGCTGCTGTCCTGGGCAGGGGCCGACCAGGTCCCCACTCCCAAAAAGAAAGTTGCCTCTGAGCCTCACGTATGACAAAGTGCAAGCTAAGGAGGAAGAGAAGGAGAAGGACGAGGAGCGGGAGAGCAGGAGTGAATGGGGAGGCGGGGGGGGCAAGGGCCTCCCCATGAGCTGTCTGGTGTCCTCACTTTCTGGGAGGAGGATCCTGCCAGCCACAGGAGGAGCCTGGCCG